AAATGTGTTTTACACATTTGGTGTATGTATGGATTGTGATATGAGTTGTATGAGCCCCTAATAAAATGATTTAAAAACAGAAAACAAAACAGAGAACACACCTGGAAATGCCTTCAGTTTCTACTTTGGACCATTTGTACCGTGTAAGTTATAACATATACTTTCTAAAATACCTAAAATCATCAGCGTGTGAGAATGCAAGCAGTTTTTGAGAACGTTTCAAGGCGATATGGGTTAAAGAAGGACTCTCAAGCTTTGGGTTAACTCTGGAGCTGCCTCACTCTGAGACTCATGGCCGGACCACAGGGACCCCTGTGGCCCTGGGTCCCACATAAGGGAGTGAGAATCGGAGGGGTAGACGAGGTTGGGGACCAAGCTCTGGGGGGCTTCCTGCCCTCATCATCTTAAAGTTAACCTGAGCTTCCCCAGAGGCGCTCCTTGGACACCAACCCTGCACACACTCTCCTACCAGTCTCCTCTCCAAGCCCATCAGGCAGACAGAAGAGCCAGGGCCTTCTGGGAGACATGGGATTCGCTAGAAGCCTGTGTCTTTGCAATGAGGTGGCAAGCATGTCATATCCACATATACCCAGACACACTTGGGGTTTCAGGCCCCCCCTGTAGTGATGTGGCAGGTGTCCCTGTCCCTGCAGAGTGCTCCCCCAGTGCTGGGTCTGGCCACACACCTTCCCCCACCTCCTGTTCTTGTGGCTCCTTCACCTGTCTTCTCCAGGCAGGAAGCCCTGGGCCGCCCTCGCCTGCCATCCAGGGCTGTGGGCCATCTGGCACAAGTGCTCTTCTTCCCCTGTGGCCAAACTGCGGAGTGAGCGAGGCCCTATGCCTGTCTTCCATCTGATGCCTGCTGCACCAGGGCAGCACGTGGCACATTTCTGCTTGTTGTGTGACCTCTACCATCTCAGAAGTCACCCCACCTTCCTTCCCCAAAGCCCCTCCAATCCAAACTTCCTGGGTCGCTCCCACTGCGATGACTCTGGGTGGCGGAAGAGTGTGTTCCCAGTGGTTTCCTATGCACTGAAGAGGCTTGTGGGCTCCCAAGTGCTAGGGGCCCCTCTTGCTTCCACCCAGCTGGCCCTGTGCCCGGCAGTGCTTGCTCCCTCCCCAGCAGCCAGGCGGGGCTGGGGTGGGGTAGTGAGGGATCCTGCACGGAGGGTGGCTGCCCGTGTAGGCCTTTGTTCCACCTCAGCTCCCAAGGGCATCCTATCTGCCTAAACAGGTTGTAATCTCCTGGAGTCAGGGACCCCCTGCCGCTTGCCAACCTGGGTAAACAAGGCTTTGTGTGGTGAGGTTGGTACCAGCCAGGGGCAGGGGTTGCAGCCTCCTGCTGGGTCAGGCCCACTGCCACCTCGGGCTGGGGGGGCTGGGACCGGTCCAGTCCCTGCACCCCCGTGCTCATTCTTGTGCAGCCTCCAGCAGAGCTTGGCAGTTTTCCCTCTGCCTCGCAGGAATGTCTCTCCTCCCGCCTCCTTCCCCTCTCCCAGCCAGGAAGCCCTGCCCACAGGCCTTTGCAAGACCCCTCAGCTTCCTGGCCTCAGGAAACCCCTCCCAGGCCCTCAGCAGCCAGCAGCCTGTGCGACTGGTCTTCAGAGCCCCCCTCCAGATGGAAGGGACCCTTTGAGCTGAACTTGTTCCCTGCCCTCTCCTACTGGGCTCCTCCAGAGCCCTGTCTAGTTGTCGCTGGTCTCCTTCCCCAAAGGACGGGCCCCAAGTGCTTGCCCACGGTCACCCAGGCAGGAAGAGGTAGGGGCAGAGAGGCTAGGTGGGCATGCTCCCAGCTCTATAGTCTCCAGGCGGTCAGGACTGCCACAGGCAGGGGGGCTCCTGGGGCTGAAAAGGTTGACACCCCCCCCCAGGGTGGGGCATTGTGCGGAGGAAGCTCACAGCTGGGGTGGGAGGGGGGGTGAGGGGGCCATGAGGGCTGAGTGCACACCCCGCTGCTGGGCTCTGATGACCCAAGAAAGCAAGGCAGCGCTCCAGTATATTTATTCCCATACAAATCATTATAAAACCCTGGTCTGGGGCAGTCACTCGCCCCCTACCCAAAGTGCAACTGATGCCTGCTGGCCTCAAGCTCTGCCCTAGCCCCTCCCCTCTAGGAAGTCCTAAAAGACACCCCCCCCATACACACAGGGGGCGGACCCACTTCCAGCAATGAAGTGCCTTCGGGAGCCCACGGGCGGCGACAGGGTTCCCGCCCGACAGCCATCCCAGGTCCAGCGGGGAGACCTGGGAGTCCACACAGGCCCGAATGACTCCAGACAAAAGGGCCACGTGAACCCCAAGTTTGACTGGGACCCCACCCCTTCCTCAGCCCCAAGGCCCAGGCCTGGTTCCTCCAGCAGGTGGAGGGGCCTGGCCCTGGATGGCGAAAAGGAGACCTGGCTCTTTAGGAACCACGCTCATGCCAGAGGGGCTGAGGGGACTAAGAAAACCACTGAGGTCTGTCTCTCTCCTGTCAAGAGTCCCCTGCAACCCCGGGGAGCTTGTACAAAAATACCCTAGTTTTCCAGAAGGAAGTGGGGATAGGGGCCTAGACACCCAGCACAGAGGAGAAGCTAGAGGGGTCCAGTCTGAGGAAGGCAGAAGACCCCACCCAGGGGCAGCGGGGCAGTGGGGGAAGGGAGGAGGGGGACCTCAGACTCCACAGGCAGAAGGGCCCCCATATAGGGGGAGGGGGGCTTGCCCACAGTCAGTCAAGACCCAGATTCAGGGCCTCCACCTCTGTGACCCCCACAAATTCCCCGGCTCAGGTTCTATGCAGCTCCCACCAGGCACGGGGGTCTCTTTCTGGCCCTGGGAGGCAAGAGTGTCACACAGAATGCCCAGCTTCTTGGGACAGAACCCCACTGTCCCGCCAGCTGATGAGTGATTTGGGGGTCTCTTTCTGGAGCCGTGAACCAAGGCCTCATGGGAAAAGACATGTCTTTGGTCTTGGATCGACTCAGAAACAGGCCCCATACCCTGATTAACTATGCTCTAACCCTGATTGGACAGAAATACCTCCCTGACACCCCTGATGAACCACGTAGGATCCCAAATCCCTGATTGGCGAAGAGCTATCGCCAGGTCCGACTTGCTGGAGGGGACATCTCTTCCAGGTCCCGGCCGGCAGGAAGCGCTGCAGCCTGCCATGACTGGCCAGGAGGTGCTCCGAGGAAGGTGAGCGGCTGGGCCGGGGCGGCTTCCCTGTGGCGGTGCTGTGACGTGACGGTGTCCCCACAGGCGGGTGGGCGGCCTAGGTCCAGGAGGGGTGGGAGAAGGAGATGCCGTACCGCTGGGCCCAGGACGAGAAGACCCTCTTCTCCGTGATGAAGCGGTGATGGTTGCCCCTGCGGCTGTGCTCGTTCTGGATGTAGGTGGCACACTCGTCTGGCCCCTTGGGCTCATAGTAGTGGTAGGGCATGCGCTGCAGGCGGGGACGCTGGCTGGGCAGAGCAGATCAGGGCCATTAGGGCAGGGCGGGCACCAGTGAGACCCCGGACCAGAGCAGGGCGAGACTTCCCAGCCCCTGGCCTCCTGTGGGACCCTCAGTGGAGGGGGGCAAGCCTTGCTCCTCCTGGGGCCTGTCTCCCCATGTGCAAAATGGGTACAGGGTAGGCTAAGGTTTGAGATCTTCACACTTTAAAAAAAAATACAAGGGACGCTTTTCCTTTCCCTCAAGAGGGGGCAGGTGTATGTGGTGTGGGGGCCCCTCTCTAATGTTGGTGGAGCCTTAGGTGACCCTCAAAATATCCTCCTCCAATGTCCTCCATGGAGGAATTGGGGGGCGGGGGCAGTCCTGGGACAGCATCTGCCCCTGAGAGTTCCTGTGAGGGGTATTAACTGAGACCCTACCAGGGTCCATGCTTGGGGCACGGTCAGCACATAGCAAAGAGTGGCTGTCCAATCATGATCATCATGATTACTGGTAACACACGTGCTGGCTAACCTTAGGGGCAAGGAGCTCTGGTGGTACAGCGGTGAAGTGCTCGGCTGCTAACGGAAAGACTGGCGGTTCGAACCCACCAGCCCTCCTGTGGGAAGAAGGCGAGGCAGCCTGCTTCCAAGAAGGAGGACAGCCTTGGAAACTACCCCTCGGGAGAGCTGCATTTGTCCAAGCAGCGATGGGTTCTGGTTTTGTCTTGTTTTTAAACTTGGGATGGAGGCTCACGATACTCCCAGGAGCCTAGATTTCCGGAGAACGGTCTAAATGTCATGGTTTAGAGGCCCTGAGAGACACCCCAAGTCTCCAAGCTCCTCCCTGGGCCGGCAGCTGGTGTGGCCCCGGCAGTGCCGGCTTGTTTGGGAGAGCTCACCTGCAGTAGTCGGGAGGGACCATGCCGTACACATGCACGTGGTCACACAGCTCCACCGCGATCGCCATGGTGAACCAGCCGGTGCTCAGCCACGAATGAGACTTCTGCCTGGAGCAGAGAAGGGCAAGAAGAGGGGCATGCGGGCAGGGGTGAGGGAGCAGGCAGGCAGGAATGGCCCAGCCCAGAATTTCCCAGAAGTCCTCCCACTCACTCACTGGAGTCCTCCTCCCACTTCATGAGCCCTGTCCAGCCCTCCGGTGGGGGCAGGGTGTGCTAGCAGAGGCGGGGGGAGGACGGAGATAGAACTGCTCTGGGAGCAGTGCGGACTCTCCTGGGGAGACTGCTCAGAGCTGGGCACACGGGGAGTGACCAGGCCCACAGAGCATGCTAGAAGCAGCGGTCCCAGGCGAGTCCCCCAGGGAGATTAATCACAGAAGGGCATGCTGGGAGTGACAGCAAAGCATGGGAGATGTAGCGAAGGCCCTGGAGCTGTGCTGTCCACTACGGTGGGCACGGCAGTAGCCCTGTGGGGACGCTGAGTCCACAGTGTAGTACAGCCAGTGGGTTTCAGAAACTACCAAAGGGGAAAACAAGACGACGCTCCTTCATCATTTTCTCTGACACTGGCTGGCTACATGTGGAACTGAAAATATTTGAGTAAAGAGGGTTCTTTGAAAAGTTTTTTTAAAATGAGAGATAAACCTCTCACATGACTGATGAGGGAAAAAAGATATGCCAGGGGTGAAAGAGGCAATGGTGACAGCCCCACGGGCCAGGTAGGCCTTAAAGGGATCCAAGGAAACCCAACACTCAACGCTGTCTGAGTACATGTGGCAACTGAGATGAAATGGGCCAATTCCTGGAAGGCACAAGCTCCCAAGGCTCACCCAGGGTGAGAGAGAGAAGCTGCACGGAGGCTTTTAAAGTTTCGTGGGATAATCCCGTTATCCTTTCATTTAATTTTTCCATGGACTCTGAAGGCCCCTCCCTCGCCCCGTCTTCCTCTATGAAAGAAATCAAACTCATAGCTGAAAACCTTCTCAAAATGAACTCTCCAGACTCAACTGGTCTCCTCGGCAAATTCTGGGCAAATATTTCAAGACGAAGAAATACCAAGTCTATAGAATCGCTTCCAGAAAATGAAAGTCAGAAAAGATCTCCGTCTGGAGGCCGGCTCTACGAGAACCCCATGCCACGCAGAGAGGGCAGCATGGACGAGCAACTGTGAACCAATGTCTTCTGTGAACACGTAAAGACGCCTGACAAAAGAGTAGCACATCAAACCTAGCAGTCTTTGCAAAGAACACTACGCTACATACAGTCAAGGGAAGACTATTCCAGAATCCAAAGCCAACCCACTGCTGCCATCAGTCGATTCCAATTCATGACGGCCCTTCCCTAGGGCTTCTGGGGCTATAAATCTTTGCACGGGCAGACAGCCTCAACTTTCTCCCAAGGAGCAACTGGTGGTGTTTGAACTGCCAACCTTGTGGTTAACAGGCCAATGTTGATCCAACAGCGCCACCAGGCCTCCTTTTCTCTAGCAATACAAGGCTAATTCAATAGTTGAGAATCGATTATGCCATCCGCAGTGTTAACAGGCTTAAGGAAAACCACATGATCATATAATTAAGGGGCGGGGGTGATTAACATTTAACATCAAGTCATAATAAAAACTCTGAGAACTAGGAAAAGAGGGACTTCCTGGATTTGGTAAAGGAGAGCCGTAAAAACCCGGAGCTCCCGGCATTCCACAAGGAGAGCCGGAAAGACCAGGGGAAAAAACAAGGCTGCCTATTCATCGGATTTCCAATACAATTATATTGGAGATTCTAGCCAGTGCAGTCAAGAAGAACAACAAAATAAAAAGGGAGGCGGATTGGGATAAAAAATTAAACCTGTCTTCAGCTCCTCCATTTGCATATGCATGACTATCTGCATAGAGAATCTCAAAGGACCCATTGTATTTCTCCAGACTAGTAACAAACCATTGGCTTGAAAAAATTACAGTGCCCGCCCTCCCAAAAAATCTATGTATTTAGTTCTCAATCCAACAAAAACATGTCCAGAGTTAATGAAAACAGATTATACTTCATTTGGCCTGTTTGTTTTCATTTTTCCAGTGTGACCACAGTAAACGTCTAAGTTACATATGTAGCTTGTATTGTGTTTCTACTAGAAAACAATGGCCTAAACTTAGGTCCAAGGTGAGCTTCCCTAGAGATGAGTCAGAGCAAGGTACGCTGGGAATGATCTGGCTTCAGAATATAGCAGGCTGGGGAAAATGGTGTGCTTTTAAGCAAGCCATGCTGGGCACAGCCAAGGCTTTCCATTAGGCATGCTACAGGGAGTTCTCCTAGACAGATGCTAGGTGTGACTACTTAACCTTAGAACAGAGCGTGTAGGACCTCTTGTTGCTTCCAAGCAAGGCATGCTGAGAAGAGAGCTCTCTAGAGGTGGCTAGTCAGAGAAAGGCATGCTGGGTGCAGATTTGCCCTCGCATATTAAGGCTTGGTGGGAGGATGCTCTCCCGTAGAGAATCATCGGGACAAGGGCCTGATGAGGTCAGCGTGTCCTTAGAGCAAAGCATGCTGGGAGGAAGTCCCTCTGAGGAGACAAAGCCACACAGAGTGACTGTTAGAACTGACCCATGGACAGAACGGGAACTGTCCCAGGAGCCCTGGGCCAGAGTGTGACTACACTTCAGAGCAGTGCATGCTGTGAGCCAAAGCGCTGGGCAGCAGCGATGCACAGCAGAAGCACAGGGCTGGCCAGAGGAGGCAGCAGGCGAGAGGCTGGTACCTGTCCTTGCCCGTCTCACCCCGGAAGAGGTCGTCAAACTGGTGCATGCGGGTGGGAGAGACGGCGTAGGCCTCCAGGTGGGGGAACGCCAGGCCTGCCCGCTGGATGATGCGCACCAGGTTGCCCTGCGGCTTCTGCATCTTGGTCGGGGGGCCCCAGAAGATGAACACGGTTTCGGGGGTCCGGTTGACGAACTCCTGGGGCCTCCGCAGAACGCGGAATACACTCGAATGGGCCACCACACGGAAGGTGGTCTTGTTGCCCACGTCAGCCGAGTAGCCGGTGGTGGGCGCGTCGTTCATGCGGATGGTGCACTCAGCCCGCTCGATCTCGGCACCCAGCTTGGTGCCCAGCAGGTGGCTGGAGCTGGTGACAATCACACACTGGCGGCACCGGGACGGGAGCGTCTGAAGGGCAAGGAGAGCGAACATCGTCAGGGCCTCTCCACTCCATGCCAGGCCCTGTGCTCCATACACCAGGCCGCCAGGAGACAGGGAATAGCAGGCCCGTCTTAAAGACCTAGAAATGGAAGCCCATTCATTCAACATCCACGATATATTTCTAGCAAACTGGAGAATGGACAGGCGCTGTATCAGTGAGGGCAAGACGGAGCCAGCTCCTGCCCTGGAGAAATGCAGTCAGGGAGACAGGGAGTAGACAGGAGAATGATCCACAGCGATGCCAAGTGTGATGGTATGTGCCAGGGAGGAGAGAAGACAGGGCGGTGTGTGGGGGGGGGGAACAAGAGAGACTGGAGGGGCCACTTTAGAGACTTGGTCCCAGGAGGCCTCTCTGAGCTGAAACTACAAGGGCAAAATGGAGCTAAGGAAAAGCATTCAAAGCAGAAGCCCAGACTGTGGAGGGGGAACAAACAGTGGGTGGAGAACTCAAAGAAAGGGCCTGGGTTGGGGCAGATGCCAAGCAAAATAAGAGAGGAGTGTAAGGCTGTCCCACAGGAGTAAAGGGCCAGGATTGGGACGCAGGGCTACAAGACCACAAGGCCCCAATCTCAGCCTCAGCCCCAGCTCCCCAAAGAGGGCAACTTCCCAAACGCACCCAGGACCTTTCCTCGCCAGCTATACACAAACGACAGCAGTAGCAAAGGTAACAAACCTCTGTATCTGTTGCCTTCGAGTTAATTCCAACTCATGGCAACCATTCCATTATGAAGGAAAGGGTGTGACGGCCACTCTGACTGAGCCTTGCATTCCCCAGCAGTGACATGGCCAGGCGGGAGTGACCTGCTCTTTGGGGCCAATTTGCTGCCCATGAGATTCCAGTTCGGCTCAAATGCTCCCTCCTCCAGGCAGCCTTCCTCCAAGATCCAGGACTAATGCACATGTAGCACCACGGATGGCTCTTCTAGTTTCCCCAGGTTCTGCAGTCTGTGCTCTCCCACCAGGCTAGGAACCAACTCAAGGCCGGTTTGCCTCTTCCCCTTCTCTACCACCCACACTCCGGTTCCACTTCTTGACTTCCACCATTTTCTCTCCTTCTTCCCAGGGTTTCTCAGATAAAGTCTCCATTCCATGCCAATACGTCTCTACTGCACTTGTCGATCCTTTCCCAGGTGAGGATGTATCCAGAGCTCAGGGCTCCCAAGTAAAAGCAAAAGTGCTGAAGAAAATCCTGGTGGGTTTGCAAAGAAGGGAGGGGAGAGAGGTAGGCAGAGATTGGGGGGCAGGCCTTTCTGGGGAGACGTCCTCCTCCTCCTGGGCCTGGGCCAACTAGTTTTTCCTTGACCCAGAAGGCCTATGGGGGGACCCCCAGAAATACGACCTAAAGTTTCACAGCCATCCAAGGCACGCCGAAGTCCCCAGGGATAACTTTTGGCCCCACTATGCCACCTTAAAGGAGCCCCATGTAGCCTGTGGGCTAGGCGGTGGGCTGTTAATCCCAAAGTCAGGGGTTCAAACCCATCAGCCACTCCCTGGGAGAAAGATGAGGCTGTGGGCTCCTGTAAAGATTGATGGTCGCAGAAGCCCTGCAGAGGGTCATCGTGAGTCTGGATTGATTTGGTGGCAGTGTGTTTAACTGGGGGGGTTTAGGTCTCCTTAATCAGCAGAGCAGAGGCTGGGGCAATACCAGGATTTAAAGGAAGTTTAAATGAGGATACCTGGATGCAAAAGGATGCTTCCATGTGGGCTTTCTACTCCTGTGAAGAGTTTCCGTCTCGAGAACCGACAGGGGCATTTCTACTCCATCCTATGGGGTTGCTATGGGTCGGCATCAACTCGACGGCAGTGTTTTCATTATTGTTACTGGGAGGCTCCTACAAATCCTATAACAATCCACCATTCAACTGTATCAAGCACACATATGCTGCCATCCCCTTTCCCAAGACATTCTCTGTCTACTTGAGCCCTTGGTATCAGCTCCTCTTTAGGTCCCCTCCCTTCCCCACTCTCCCACCTTCGTGAATTCTTGATCGATTATATACAGTGAACCCTCGCCACTTCGCGCTTCGACTTCTGCAGCTTCACTCTATCGCGGTTTTTGCGTAACAGCACCCACTGCCTACACCCGCTCCTTCAGAGGAAAAAGACGGCGACCCACCTGTAGAGTACATCCCTTAAGTCATTTCATAGGCTATTGATTACAGTATTTGTAAGAACTATGTATAATAATACTGTATGTGAAATATGTAATACTGTAAACTAGATTCCATAAATAATATAATAAATAATAAATGAGAACTGTAACATCCAAAATGTTTTACTGTATTTTCCCTTTTTCGTTTAATAAATTGGGTAATACGAGTGTAATGGTGACTAAAGGGTGTTTTTTCATGTCCTCTATGCTCTAACTACGAAAATATTTGATTTACAAATAAGGAATCCTACTTCGCGGAATTTCATTTATCACAGTAGGGTCTAGAACCGATTAACCGTGATAAACAAGGGTTCGCTGTATTATTGTTATTTTGTGTCTTACATACTCTGTTGTCGTCCTTCACCCACATTTCTGTTATTCGTCCTCCTGGGGGGTGGATATATAACCCATGAGTTTCCCCCTTGCTCCCCCTCCCACCCCCTTGCCCCCACCATTCCCCACCCTCGTGATATCACTACTCCCACTGCTGTTCCTTCCTGAGGGTCTTACCTGTCCTGAATTCCATGTGTCTGAGCTCTTATCTGTACCAAGGTGTGTGCTCCGGTCTAGCCGGATTTGTAAGATAGAACTGGGTCATGGTAGTGGGGAGGAGGAAGCATTTGGAACTAGAGGAATGGTGTGTGTTTGGTCAGAGCTATACTGCACCCTGGCTGAATCGTCCCTTCCTTGTAACCCTTCTGTGGGGGGTGTCCAACTGTCTACAGATGGGCTTTGAGTCTCCACTCCAACCCCACTCTTTTACTTCAATATAATTGTTTGTTTGGGATCTTTTGATACCTGATACCTGATCCTATCAACACTTCATGATCACACAGGCTGGTGTGCTTCTTCCATGTGGGATTTTTTGCTTCTCTGCTAGATGGCCACTTGTTTATCTTCAAGCCTGTAAGACCCCAGATGCGTATCTTTTGATAGCCGGACACCATCAATTTCTTCACCACATTTGCCTATGCACCTACTTTGTCTTCAGTGAGTAGGGAAGGTGAGTATCAAAGAGTGGCAGGTTCTTAGAACAAAGTGTTCTTGTGTTTGGGGAGACCTTGAATAGAGGCCCAAAGTCTGCCTGCTATCTTAATACTTAACATGTAAATATATGTACATTGACCTTCATCCCTTTCATTATAAATTAATATACTTACATATATACATGCCTATTGCTATGTCTCTATAAATAGCTTTGTCTCCAACATCTTTCCTCTGTTTCCTTTCACCTTCCTCCTGTCCCACTATCATGTTCACCCTCTACTCGGTCCTCAGTAATTCTTCTCAGATGCACTGCATTTGATCAAACCGTACCAGGCATTATACGCCCTCCTTGCCAGTGTTAGATCTCTTGTTGTTCCTTTATTCCTGAGTTTGTTGGCCCCCTGCACCCTCTCCCATGCCCCACCCCATCCCCCTGGACCACTGGTCCCATTGTTTTCTCCTCAGGATTGTTTGTCCTATCATATATAGACAGACATAGAGCGAAAGAAAAAAAAAGGAAAAATCGATAGTCCCAGGTCTGTCTGCTGACCTTTCTGAGTATTTTCCAACTGGGTCTAATGAGGTGAAGAGCCCTCCCCAGTCAGAAGTCTATGTTCAGGATTCCTCAGTTACTTGGTTACTTTGCTGCCCTGTCACACTCCCTTTGCTTTTCACCCCACTATGCGTAGGGCAGACTGGGCACACTTTCCACACTGTGTCTCCAGTGCTGCCCCCTGTAGTCCTGTGGGTCAGGGAGGGAACGTTGTGTCTCGTGGTGGGGCTGGCCCTACAGTCCTCTCTGCATTGGCTGCTCCAAGCAGGGAAATTGTCCCCAGGGCTTGGTGGGCCATGATGAGGTTTTTCTTTTCTCTCTCTCTCCCTCTTAGTTTGCACCCACATGGTCTGGACAGACCCGCCACTCTCCCCGAGCTATATTTTCAGTGCTGTCCTCTGTATCCCATTCTTCTGGGGAGGGGGTCCACACAGCTCAGCTTCGACAGCAGTGAGTTTTGAAACCTCAGCGTGGGGTAGCCTTGAGGTCCCAGAAAGAGCGTGGCTGTGGTTGTCACCCCTGAGTTCAACCCCAGCTTCTCCCACTCCTGTGTGGCCTTGGACCAGAAACTTGGCCACTCTGGGCCTCCGTTTTACCACCTGTTCAATGACTGCAAGGATGCCACCTCCCAGGGCTAGTCTCCCGACTGCTGGCGGCTACAAGGCCTGGCACACTGTTCTCGTGTTGTCAGGGGCCCAAGTGACCACCCAAGAGACCTTTCCAGAAGGGACTGTGACTCAGGAGATGGTAGAATAATGTTGGTGCTTGGAGAGGAGGGAGGCCCGCGAGGACTGGGTCCTCACCAAGTTCTCCCAGCCAGCCAAGGGCGAAACTCATTGGAGGCCAAAGTCTCAGACTCCTGTGGTCCATGTTCTCTTGAGCAGGGATTTGGGGACAGGGTGAATGGTGGTGGAAGAGGAAGAGGAGGAGGAGGAAGAGGAAGAGGGAGCAGTGCTGGGGGTATCAACCAGCAGGCTGTTCTCAACGTAGCTGGCCCTACCTTGTTGCCAAGAAGAGGGACGTAGCCATTGGTGATGCTCCATTTTCTGACGTTGACGGGCCGGTGGGTGCTGTAGTGGAAGACCTCACTGGTACTGTGGGAGCTGTAGAGGATGAGGATGGTGATGAGGGCAAAGAGGATCACGAACACTGCCGAGCGCTGCTCCTGGAGAGGGGAGAGGCTGGTGAGGGTCTAGCCGTGGGGCAGGCTCTCACTCCCTGGCAGGGAAGAAGGCTGGAGCTGGCCTGTTCCAGGCAGCACCAAAGGGGCCGGCTTCACAGGGCTGGGGAGAGGCTCAGATGGGGGGCAAGAAGCAGAAGGGACTTACTTTGCTGTTACTCATCTCTCCCCCTTGGCGTCTGCTGAGCGGTGGGGGGCAGTGTCCTGCCGGTGGGCCTGGGGGCAGGGAGGAGGGGTCACACCTGCAAGGAAGTTTTATGATTTAAGAATCCTTCCCTGGGCCCAGCGGGTCCTAGGCTACAGGACAACCCCTGCCCACTCCCCACCAGCTCTCCTGCCCACACCAGAACAACAGGCCATTTCGTAGACAGAACCACTGAGGGCCCAGAGGGCCAGGGTCCTGCCTGAGGTGGCAGAGCACTCCCTTCCTGCCCCTTGCTCCTTTTGGAGGCCCTCCTAGACAGCGGTTGCCCTGAGAGGGCACCGGCCCCCAAACAGCGGAAACTGTACCCGCCGCTTCCCCTCACTCTAAACCCTGTCTCAGTTCCCCGGGGCCTCAAAGTCACACAACACACCTCCACAGAGTGGGCGCCAAACTCCTTCCTCTCTCTCCTCCCTCCCAGTCTTGCCATCAACAGTCCCCTCTGCCTGAGACACCCTTCCCTCCTGCACCTGGCATCCTCTGCTCCTCATCCAGGCCCGGAGTGGACCAGGAGCCTCCCTCGTCCTCCCTGAACTGTGTTCTCGCCTACCCTCCAGGAGTCAGCTCTCTGAGGGCACAGACAAGGCCTCCCCTGTACTTTGGCTCCCAGCAGTGCACCAGGTGCGGGACTCTCACCGAGGAACCCCGTAACCCCAGTAACCCCTTGACCGTTAAGGACATGGGGACTCACTGCTTCTCATCCCAGCTCCATGGCTGACTAGTTAGATGGCTGGACACAACCCCACTCAGGGCAGGGGAGACCTCAGTGACACGGTGTTGTCGTGGGCTGCTGCTTCCTTCCTGCCCGCAGCCTGAGCCCTGGGGGAGGGGCCAAGCTCAGCTCTGCCCCATTCTGTCACCTGCTCCAGCACGGTCCCCCACCAGGCCCAACGACTCCCCAGACCTTGGTTTCCCTACCTGTATAAAGGTAATAAGGAACCCTGGTGGCACAGTGGTTAAGCACTCAG